ATATATATATATATATCAAACAGACAATTATATCAAAATTGTATCAAAATATATCAAAATGACAATTATTCTTACCGACAAATACAAAAAAAAACTTCAGAGACAAATTTAAACCAGCACTAAACAGATTATAACCGCACACACATAAACACACAGCATACACACATAATGGTCAAATACACTGGTCGAACCACACACACACACACACACACACACACACACACACAAGTATCAATGGAGGACGAATAAATATACACATACTGTTGTTAACCATGTTTGCCGTAGTCTCTGAATATAGAACCCAGTGAAGTCCGTAATGTGTTCAATATCAGAGGTTGGCAGTGAAGATTCGGAGAAAGTAGCAGCTGTTAAGTAATTCTTTAAGTCTTCGATATCAGAGGTTGGCAGTGAAGATATTTTGGGAGAAAAAACAAAATGGCTGCCTTTATACACGTCGGATTGAATATTTTGAGCTTTCTGATTGGTTAACCCTTCTCTTGGTGGACTATAAAATGAGTCAGCTCACTTTGGCTAGCTCACTAGTACTAAAAGGTACCCAAAAATTCCAGCACATACTAGCAAAAATAAACACAATAGACTGTCCACAAGCACACACACGAACCCTACACAACATAGGAAGTGTATATATATATATATATATATATATATATATATGTGTGTGTGTGTGTGTGTGTGTGTAAATGTGTGTGTACTAATTTCTTATAATAAAATAGTATATATGTATAGAGAAGTAACATGCATAAACATACTAGCAATACACACACGTCCACACAATACAAAAAATAGAGATAGGTTTAAAAAGATACAAGTGTCATAAAAAATAAGAACAAAGACCTTCTTTCCCTCACCCTTTCTCTGACCAATCCTAATTGTTTTATTACCCCTTAAGCTGAAGAAAATTAGGTTACTACTACACACAAAAGACAATGGGTAAACATCGGAAAACATAAGGAAATTTTATTCCTTTTAATAATATGTGGAAATAACCACTCTTTGCCTGATGAATGTCACGAGACCGGAAACCCGTGTAGCAAAAATATGGAAAATAAAGTATATATTTTAAAAATCCACATGATAACCAAAAACTTTTGCAGTTTCTATCTACTCTTTAAAGTATACACTTTTCTCACGTTGGAACACCTATAATCTTTCTCTTATAAATATAAGCGGCTCTTGGGGCACAATCCGTTGGGTCATGAATACTTGGATGAGTAGCGGCGCTGTATCGAGTCTATTGACTTTCTTCTTCGTCACCGAGGCGCGTTGCTATGGCGCTGGCGTTGTATCGAAACGGTTCGGGTTCTGATGAGTCCCAAAATAAGACGAAACGGCTTTCTACATTATGTTGAGGATTCTTTTAGACTCGATAAATTACTATAATGATTTACCTAAATCGCCAAAATTCTTTTTTTAATATATATATATATATATATATATATATATATATATATCAAACTATCAAACGTTAAATAATATATAATGGAAAATTAGGAAACCATTCGATTTCACTACCTTGGTTTCAACGTATATATATATATATATATATATATATATATACAGTGCTGTTAGATAAAAGTGACTCATCTGATTTTTTTTTACTAAATATATTTTTTGTCTATCGTCTTGGGGATTAAAATAATTTTTAATCTTACTAATATAAAGACCCGTTTCCGACCACCTAGGAAAAGAAATTTATTCACCCTAAGGTATTCTATTGATAATTATAGATGAGATTCAGGAAAAAAAATTGTGCAAAAAAAGTGACTCAGATATCGCATTCTAATGATTAAACTGATAAATTTAAAGAGCTTTTGACAAATTATTGAAAACTATTTTACAATACACTGAGAACAATATTCTAGAGAATTCTAGAACAGCTTAAATTAAATCTAGTGTATTCCAGAATATTCCAGAAAGCCTCATACGGTATAAAAACAGCTTGAAATAGCCACTCAAGTTACTAACCAGATGAAAAGGTACACGCATCAGAACCACTTCAGGCATCTATTATTGCCCTCTCAAAAGCAGGCAAGTCTACGAGAGAAATTGCAGAAATTGCTATAACCTCGCAATCAACTGTCTCTCGAGTGCTTAGGGTACATAATGATGCCACTCCTGCTCCAAGGAATGAAACGAGGGGACGAAAGAAAAAGATTGATGATAGAACTGGCAGGGTAATCAAGAGAGAAGTTGTGAAGAATAGGACTACAATTAGCCAAGAAATTGCAGCCAGTCTAAGCGAAGAGCAAGGTGTTAGTCTTGCCTCTTCAACAGTCCGTCGGTGGCTGTTAGAACAAGGCTACAAATCTTGTACACGAAGGTTTAAGCCGCTAATAAGCAAAGCCAACAAAGCCAAGAGACTTGAATGGGCTCACTATTACAAATATTCCACCGTAGAAGACTGGAAGAATGTTCTCTTCTTCGATAAAATGAAAGTTGAGCTAAATTCAATGGATAAGCGATCTAAAATCTGAAGAAGAATCTTTGAAAGCTCTTTGAATTTAGCAGTAAGTACTGTCAAGCATCCGTTCAGTATAATGTTCTGGGGATGATTTTCTTTTCATGGAACTGGTTTCTTAAAACCTATTGAAAAGACCCTCAGGAGCGAGCAGTACAAGAGAATTTTAGAGTCTTGTCTGCTCCCTTCTGCTGAAAGGGTGAAAATCGACCCCATCAAGATCATTTTTATGCAGGATAATGCTCCCTGTCACAAATGAAAATTGATGATGGAATACTTTGATGAGAAGTAGGTGAGTGTTATGACATGGGCGACCCAATCTCCTGACATCAACCCCATAGAAAACTTATGGAGCATTATAAAGTACAGGCTCTCGAGAAAGCAGTTGAGCAACAAAGAGGATTTGATTGTGAATTTCATATCCGAATGGAATTCAATGCCTGGAGATGAGATTTACCAGAACCTAATCAAGTCAATGCTAAAAAGGGTTGAAAAGGTTATTCAAAATAAAGGAGGACCCATAGATTAATAAATATTTCGAACTATATTACCTATTATAAATAAATTATACCTCTATTAATCTTTATTTAAAGCTGTTCAGTTATGTTTCTATTGATTACTAGTTGCAGAAAATAAGTGAGTCATTTTTTTTGCGCAAAGTTTTCCCCTAAATCTCATTTATATCCAATATTATAATTATAAATAGAATACCTTAGGGTGAGTAAACTTTGTTTACTAGGTGGTCGGGAAGGGGTCTTTATATCAGTAAGATTAAAAATTAGTTCGACCCTAAAAGCAATAGGCGAAAAAATTTTTAAGTAAAAGAAATCAGGTGAGTCACTTTTATCGAACAGCATTGTATATCAAACTATCACTATATATATATATATATATCCAAGTATAGGATTGGTGTATACGGAATAAATTCCAATTACTAAAAATACTATTCTTAAAAGAGTGCTCAACACAGAGTAAACCAAATATAACTTATTTGAAAATTATAACATAAATATGTTATAAAATCACTACAAAAATTGCCATTTTGTTTCAACACTTCTGGTGTCTTATCAAGGGATTCAACACAATCACTTGATAAGACACCAGAAGTGTTGAAAAAAATGGCAATTTTTAGTGATTTTATAACATATTTATGTTATAATTTCGAATAAATTATATATATATATATATATATATATATATATATATATATATATATATATATATATATATATATGTATGAAAATTTCTCCGATTTAACCAGTAGAGAAGACAATATTTATGAATAAAAATGACAATAGGAAAACTGGTAATTGCTGACGCGTTTCGTCAATATATATATACTTATATGTATATATATATATATATAATATGAGCGCTTGTATATATATATATATATATATATATATATATATATATATATATATATATATATATAGTAGTAGTAGTAATCTTATAAATATAAGAAATTATACTCGTTCGGAAAAATTTCGGTGCCTTCATTTGCAAATGATCAGACCAATACCAAAGGGAAAAAGAGGTATAAAAAAAAGAAAGAACCAAGAACATGTACGTTAACCGAAAATAATCTATCTATCTATTTATCTATCTATCTATCTATCTCTCTCTCTCTCTCTCTCTATATATATATATATATATATATATATAGTTGTCATTTCGTAAACTCCAGTCACGTAAGTAGATATTGATTTTGGCTAGATCTCGGGATGATACCATTCTCGTTCTGGAACTTTCACAAAACGGAACAATCTCTCTTGAATAAGCGATTCCGTGAAATAACGATAAAAAAAAATCGACGTGCAATGTTTTCTATTGACAAGTGTTCGGAATTAATTGCTGTTTACTGCATTTCAAATGAATTATGAAAAACAGGACGGACTCTGCCTTCTTTTAATATTTAACTGTTTCTATCACAAGACAACTTCTTCTTTATCGCTCACTTTTCTTTCTCTCCTCTCCTCTATCTATCAGTCTATCTATCACATTGTGTTACACCCAACCTGTTCATATCTATCTATCTATCTATCTATCTATCTATCTATCTATCTATCTATCTATCTCAATAAATCTATCTCTGTTCATATCTATCTACCTATCAATCTCATTCTACTCCTATCTATCTATCTATCTATCTATCTATCTATCTATCTATCTATCTATCTCAGTCTGTTCCTATCTATCTATCTATCTATCTATCTATCTATCTATCTATCTATCTATCTATCTGTTCATATCTACCTCAATAAATCTATCTCTGTTCATATCTATCTACCTATCAATCTCAGTCTACTCCTATCTATCTATCTATCTATCTATCTATCTATCTATCTATCTATCTATCTATCTATCTGTCTGTTCATATCTACCTAAATAAATCTATCTCTTTTCATATCTATCTATCTATCTATCTATCTATCTATCTATCTATCTATCTATCTATCTATTCAAAAATAAATCGATAAACAAATTAAGGTACAAAGAATCTATTTTATTTTCATAGTCCATGCGTAACGGTGTAAACGGCCACTGTCCTTGTTTCTTTTTAGATCAAATTTGCTTCCACTTTAAGTGTCTTGTACGCAGGTCAGATTGTACGAAGCTTGCCTTTGCCGCCGTTGATCGTTATTTCTGAAAAAGGCGGAAAGCTTTGAAGCCTAATATCCATGACTGACTGTCACACATGACGGCAATCATTCAATATATTTTCATACAATCTGAACTTTAGGAACAATTACCCACACGTACACACATTAATTCCTCCCTAACCAAACAATCACTCACTTTGTTGTCTTTTACGACTTGTTTATCAAAAATCTATCTATCTATCTATCTATCTATCTATCTATCTATCTATCTATTTATCTATCTATCTATCTATCTATCTATCTATATATCTATCTCAGCCTTTTCATTATCTATTTATCTATCATGTTATCTATTTCAGCCTGTCCATATATCTCTGCCTGTTTATATCTATCTATCTATCTATCTATCTATCTATCTATCTATCTATCTATCTATCTATGCCAGTGATCATTCTTTCTTTCTTTCTTTTTGTTATGAGGACCTACCTTCATGGACGACATAGACTCGTCTTATGACTATATTATGCCTCACAAGAGGACAGTAGACAGTTGACGAAGTGGACGAGTTGACTACTGTAATTTGCCGTCAGACGGACGTGCAACACTTTTGTATTCGTTCTTTTTGTTAATAATCTGTTTTCACTAAATTGCTGAGTTCGATTTTTCTTTCGGACCTATTCTGGGTCCACAACACTTTCTTTCTCAGATTTGTTCATTATCTATCAATTTATGTCTATATCTATTACAGTCTTTATCTTTCTCTCCCTCTCTCTCTCTATCAATCTATCACATTGTGTTCATGTCTGTCTGTCTGTCTCAATCTATCTATCTATCTATCTATCTATCTATCTATCTATCTATCTATCTATCAAAATGTGTTCATATCTATCACAATGTGTTCATATCTATCTATCTATCTATCTATCTATCTATCTATCTATCTATCTATCACAATGTGTTCATATCTATCACAATGTGTTCATATCTATCTATCTATCTATCTATATTCTTTCTTCCCCCTCTCTCTATCTATCTATCTATCTATCTATCTATCTATCTATCTATCTATCTATCTATCTATCTATTTCTCCCCCCATATATATATATATATATATATATATATAAGGAAGGGTTCATTGATGAGGCTTAGAACGTGTTAGCACCTCCCGTGTATACAGTGACACACAAAAGTATTGAACACACAAAAAGTTTCAAGAAAATGATTTTTATTAACCTAAAAATTGCGCGCCCTTTCGGTTAGGGGCCGAAAATACGCCGTCTACGTCTCCCGCGCAGAGGGATAAGAAAGAGAATCCTGTCAGACAGCTTCTTCTCTAGAACTATTACTTTGTGGAATAGATTTCCAGGAGAAAGCGTCCCCGTTCACTCCGATCTGAACCTCTTCAAGTCTTGGCTCAACTGCTATCTATCCTACCCAACTTCATAATATGCAATTATTACCTCCACCTTTTGCGCTCATACAACAGCCTCATTCAGTAAACCTCTACATTGAGTGGCTCTTGGGCCTTATGTTAGGTGAATAAAAGTATAAAAATATCCGGAAAAGATTCTACTTGTTTGCTTTATCTTTGATTACCTTTTTGACAATCATATGAAATGGAGGTATATCTTTTTAAACTCTCGTATAAACTCGGGCAAACATTGTAACTCTCGTATAAACTCGAATTTTGTCTGTCTTTTTTAATCCAACGCACGGACAATAAAATAAAATAGATTCTTTGTACCCTAATTTATTTATCGATTTATTTTTGAATAGATAGATAGATAGATAGATAGATAGATAGATAGATAGATAGGGAGAGATATGAACACATTGTGATAGATTGATAGAGAGAGAGAGGGGGAGAAAGAAAAAAGACTGATAGATAGATAGATAGATAGATAGATAGATAGATAGATATAAACTGATTGAGATATATCGATAGATAGATATTAACGGATTGAGACGGATTGATTGAGGTAGATATGAACAATTTCTGCAACTCTCTTGAAGATTATTTCACACGACAGTTAAAAAAGTATATGTTAATCTTTTTGACAATCATGTGAAATGGTGCTATATCTTTCTAAAACTCTCGTGTAAACTCGGGCAAACATTGTAACTCTCGTATAAACCCGAATTTTGTCTTAACTTTCTGAATCTAATGTAAATCGCATTCACGTCTGACCTTTTTAATCTAGTGTAAACCGGATCTATGTCTCACTTTTAAATCACTTTTAATCTTGTTCGCTCCAAGCTAGGCAGTGAAGTCACTAAGACACAAGGGGCTTCTGGGGTTGTGAGAATTAGGATCAGAGGCATTACTAATGAGCGAGAACAAAAAGTGTAGTCAAGTCAGTAAATAGCGATTGACATTGCATTTAGATTAGATTAAATAAAGATTAAATTTGGCTCGAAAGCATGGAGCCACGAGGGTACTCTATAAGCGAGTGTGAGAAAAGAAACTGTCAGCTTAGAATTTGTGGTTACATCTAGCTAGCTCAACTTTAAATTGATAACATCATGTCGCTAGTTTAGTACTGCGTTTAAATTAAAGAAGTCTGGTAGCATTTTTTTGTCATCAAAGCCACAAAAAAAAAAGAAAAAAAGATCTGTCTTCTCATATACATGCTAGAGTTCAACATATATATATATATATATATATATATATGTGTGTGTGTCTGTGTGTGCGTGCGTGTGTGTGTGTGTGTGTGTGTGTGTGTGTGTGAAAATATATAGAAAATAGGAAAGAACTGGTTAGGTAAATAATCCAAAGTTCTTTAGTATTTTTGTTATTTTTAAAAAATAGTGCTCGATACAAAAGTAGAGCATAGATATAATAACAAAAATACTAAAGAGCTTTGGATTATTTACATAACCAGTTCTTTCCTATTTTCTATATATTTTCACATATATTGGCTCCCGAATTAAGGTCGAACACTCTGAACCTTTATTTTTAAAACAACTTCTTTAATTATAATAATTATATATATATATATATATATATATATATATATATAGAGAGAGAGAGAGAGGGGGGAGGCACGGTGGAGTAATGGATAGCTAGCGGTTTGGATTGAGGAATCGGAGAGCCGAGTTCGAATATATATATATATATATATATATATATATATGGACTAATGGATAAATTTTCGTCTAAATTACGCAAAATTGATAACACTGACATCACTTTTTAACAGATATATCTATTAAAATGATACAAAAATATCTTGAAATACTAAAGAGTAAATTTCTTCAATAATGATATTTAGCTAACCCCCCCCCCCCGCCACGAGGATTACATGTGGCACAAGGCTGGGTTTAATGTGGGATCTCCGAGCCCGTAGGCTCGGCCAAAAATATTCCCTCTTAGAACCCGAATAAACGGGTTCAGGGGCAGTCAACCACCCCGAACGAGACTCTGACCTTCGGCGGAGCCTCGTCCGGGTTCCTCTCCGCCCGAATGCAGAGAGTTAGACTGTTAGCCAAATATCGCCATTGACTTCAACCACGGCCTCCAGACGACTTCGAAATCTCTTTTGGACGGTTTCCTTGTTTAATTTGCACAATACTGCAATAATCCTTGCCTTCAGTTCATCTTTGGTATGACAAGGAGTTTCGCTGGTCTCTCGCTCAACTGCGCACCACACATAATAATCAAGTGGGAGGGTGCAGAAATTGTCTGACAGCCACGAATGAATTTCTCTGCTTGTGTGGCATGGTGCAGAGTCCTGTTGCCAAACATAGGGTTTTCCAGCTGCCACCCTCTTAACTCAGGGCAGCACTAACTCCTCAAGGCACTTGATGTAAGGCCTCCGTGTCGAGACTGAGGCCCTTTGAAGAGATTAATGGCGGCTCAACATCACCATCACTAGTAATGACTTCAAACACTTTCGTAATCACCATTAGATTCATCCAACTCTCTCTCTCTCTCTCTCTATATATATATATATATATTAGAATACGTCAAATTAAAATATAACTAAGAACCTATGTCCTTTGTGTAACATTTTTTAATACGGTGTAGATTGGACCCATGCAAAACGTTTTGACTCTAGTATAAACCGGACCTATGTCAAGCTAATGTAAACCAAGCCTATCTCAAACTGTTTTTTATCCTAATGTAAACCGAATCTATGTCAAGCTTTTTTATTCCAATGTAAAACGGACCTATGTCCAAGTTTTTGAATCTCGTGTAAACCGGACCTTTGTCTACATTATCATTCTAGTGTAAACCGGGACATTGCTCTCCCTGGGTTTATAGCTATCTTTTAAACCCTTTTGTAAACCGGGTCTATCATTTTGCTTCTAGTGTTACCCAGACTTATCTCAACCTGTGTGACTCACGTGCTTCGTAAATCTACAGATCGGTCCAGATGTGAGAGAAATACTCTGTTTTTTTCTTTTGAACTGGGTCTCGTAGAGACACAGCATAACAGGAGGAATCAGGTAATTTCTTGGCCCGTAGACAGGTGCCAATCCATTTTTCCAGCGTCATTAGATCGTCATGGATCGTATATACGGGATTCATTTGAGGTCTGGTGTAAGCTTCAGCCCCCAACAGATGTTCTAAGCAATAGATCTCATTGAGAATACAACTGCTCATTGTGACAGGAGAAGGCACAGTGTCTTCTCCATTACTGTTTTGACTTTTGAGTTGTCAAGTGTTACAAGACAGTTTATCCCCCAATTGAGTCATTTCTAAATATATTGCAGAGGCAACAGACCAGATGTAGCAGCAATAATCAACGCAAGGCCAAATGGTGCACTTATAAATTTGTAAGACAGATTCTGGCAGGAAAAGTGGTCTAGCACGACATAATAAAATATTTACCGTAATTCTCCATGTATAAAACGCATTTCTTGCTAAAACATATACTAAGCAAAGTCAGGGGGTGCGTATTATGAACAACTACAAAAATCTTTAAAAAATTGCCGTAAAATAAAATAACAATTATGATAAAACTAAATTAGAATAATATGTTTAAAACCATTTTTTTTAAAAAATAAGAGTAGGAAACGCTGCCCGTAATGAAATTGGAGAGGTATGATTTATAGGGTGCGTATTATGCGTGAAGAGAAGCATTTTTCCACACTTTCAGCACAATTTTAGGTGTGCGTATTATGGATGAAGGCGTATTATACATGGGAAATTACGGTACTATTTTTCTGTTCGTTTTATACACAGGTTGCTTTTTCAGGGGATCAAACAAAGTTTCGGGCCTCCACGACATCAAAATCTTTTCAATGGCCCCAGACGAGAACGATAAATTCCTCGTCTAGCATTCTGGCATGGCTTCCACATGATTCCAACAATTATAAACAATATTTGCTTCTACTCAAATGATATTTTATTTAGGTACAGCCAAAAATTTTCTAAAGAAAAAGAGCACACCATGAAGAAAAAAAGACTACAAACTTGATAAAAACAAAGTTTTATCGTCTAAATGTTTATATTATGATTAAGAGGAAAGACAAAAATATTTTTGATTATTTTATCAATTTTATTTTTTATCCTTTCTAGAACGTTCGAAATTTTGTTTAAAAATCTTGTTTTTCCTGCATCACGACGGGTCGGCCAAAGATTATTATGGGGATTTTTAGCGTGTTTCTTTTTTAGCGTTGAAAACACATTGTTTGGAAATTATTGCAAATATCAAATAAATGTCAGATTCTAATGAAATTTTCAGAACTTATTCAAAAATGAATGAAATTATTTCTGAATTTTTTTTTTTTTTTTTTTAGAAAATCTTGGTAAAACATTTTTTATATCTGTTATCCCCACTTAATTTTATGAAATTTCGATAAAATTAAATTTCAGCCTCTTCATATTTATATTAGTTAAAAGCAGGAGTCCTTGGAGAAATTAAAGCATCAGTCTGTTTTTGTTAAACAGAAACACCATTTACTGAAAATCTGCTCTGAATCGTAAAATAAAAATGCATTAAAACTATGACATTATTTAATTAGAAAAGCTTTTAAATGCTTTTATAAATAAGATATATTAAGGACACTATTGTCTTAAGAAAAAAATTGTTTTCGAAAAATAATGAATTTTTACAAGAATTGTTTTCATTTTTTTTAAAATTTTAATTAGAAAAAAATTTATTATGTTTTAAATCTTTTAAAATTCTTTATTAATTCCAGACTTTTAAACGATATTATTATTAATTTAAAACTATATTTATTAATCATAAATACGCCTTTTTTCCCACACTTTCAGCACGATTTAGGTGTGCGTATTACGGATGAAGGCGTATTATACATGGGGAATGTATGGCGAAAAGAAAACTTTCAAAAAGCGGGAGTATCACTATAAGGATGCGCTCAACACGCCGATTGTTTTATAAAGCTAAATTAGAATAATATGTTTAAAACCATTTTTACAAATGTTAACAGGTTGGTCTGTTCGTCTCCTATTCAAGGCATGAGTGTACTTAATACAAATCATCAAACAATTTTTTAAAAGAATTTTGAATATTTTGTATGGTATAAACGTGTCTATTCTTGTAAGTACGGGCTACCATACACGACATTATCAGAAAATAAGAGAGATGACTATAGTAAATTTAAAACCGACATTTCTAAAATTCAATAAAACATTAGATCACGGAGAATATTTTCCTAAATTTTCAAGATTACTGAGTACTTAAAAATGATATAAAAAGGACGCTGATGTTATTTTCCTAAATAATGTTTTACAGATAAATTCCTCGTAAAACAAAATTAGATCTGTCATCAGGCGGTCAACACGACAATACTGTTGGATTAAAAAAATGTAATTCTGTGATATTTTAAACTTAAAGTAAATAATATTTGTTTCAAATCTGATTAATTCTACTTTAAATCACCTAATATACCTCAAAGTTTCAGAAAAGTATATTTTATTTTGGGAAAATTTTTTGATAAAGAGAATTACATTGTGATGACAGACGACTAAAAAGGGCGCTAATCAGTTATTTCAGAAAAAAAAATCTACTTCCATCCAATATAAATTAGTTTTTGAAATACAGCATACAGTATTTTATTGGAAATATCAAAGTTGATCTTTTAGCTTCAAATTAGAACTAAAATAAAAGCTAGAGGAAGATGCCTTCCAAAATCTAAGCAAACTATTATGAAACAGTAAAATTTCTTTGGAAACTAAGAAAAGGGAGTTGAGCTATTATGTAAGGTTCACCCTTTACAAGGCTCGGAGGTTAGGTTATAGATTTTGTTAAAAGAAAACCAAATATAAAAGATTCAATTGAAAAGTAACGACCAAAGGAGAAGTATTTTTTCTCGTATAAATACGATTTGATATTTTTTCAAATTAAATATCATTATGAATATGTAATTTCGAATTATGAACTGGACGTGAGAAAATTGAAGAAAGTAAGAAAATTTAAATATATGCGAAGTGTTTTACGACGGAAAATGTGACAGCGAAATAAGAAGGCACCTTGGAATAGAGAAAGATGCCTTCCAAAAGCTAAGCAAACTATTAAGAAATAGACTAATTTCTTTGGAAACTAAGAAAAGAGAGTTGAACTATTATGTTAGGTTCACCCTTGACAAGGTTCGAGAGCCACACGAGGTAGAGGGTTATGTTAGAGTGTCATTTGTGCGTACAGGATTAGGAGATGACTCTTAACCCTAGCCTTGAACAGGTTAAGATTGTAATGATTGGAGAAATTTCTGTTAAGAGTCGGTTCTATAAGGCAATGGTTCGGGGGAAAAAGCTGTTCGAGTGGAACTTCTCACCGATGGAATACGGGGTTGACCCGGGAACAACAGTAATTAAGAAATGGTTTTATGAACTTCAAAACCTCCGGATCAGAGGCCTTGTTTATTGTCATACCCAGGACAACTTACCGAAGAGCGAAATTGTTTAAATAATGCAAAGAATAGATTTTATTTCAAAGAATACCAGGTATAAAAGATTCACTTGAAAAGTAAGGACCAAAGGAGAAGTATTTTTTTCTTGTATGAAAAGGATTCGATTTTTTTCTTCAGATTAAATTGTAGTGGGCAAAACAAGATCTAGATTTAAAAATTCAAATGCTAAGCACTGACTCATTGATTCTGCTATAAATTAAAAAAAGACTCGAATTTACAAACGTTTCTTAACACACACGCAAAAGCGAATCCAAAACAAAACTCGTGAAACTTCACACCTTGATGCGAAATGTTTTTCGGTCAATAGAAAACTAGGAAACATTTTTTTAAAAAAATTCAAATTTCTCAGAAACAAATTCTTTTACCTTTTCGCGAGCCGACGCGAAGTTTGTTCGTCGTCCAATGGAAAGGCCCGAATCATATCCGGGAGTGAATTCCCAAATGATCTTTTCAAGGCCCACAAACAAAATAAAATACGGGCAGGTTCGCCTGTCACCAGAGAGAAACAGACGAGCGCATTAACACGTCCTTTGACAAACGTCAAGCGATCGTTATTATTATCTCTATCTTTCTCCTTCACCTCTTTTATACTTGATAAACGAACGGAACATTTTAAGACTGAGCGATTACTTCAAAGACATTCCTACCATACGATAACGCTCATACATACATACGTTCCTGCCTACGTACATATAAACTCATTCTTGCAAGGACTATTACGAACATTTTGACGACCTTGTATCAACCAGAATACATTAATTTTATTTGTAAAGACCTTAATTGATTTATATCTATATAAATTTGTTGTTTCACCTTACAATTTGATTTTCTTGTTTTATATTCCTCTTATAGTGGGCTATCTAACTAACAAGGCTAAATCAAACTAATCTGTTTCAACACTCATACACTTCACTATAACTGATAACCCACTAGAGTATCACGTTTTTTGAGTTGTTTCTACTTTTATTGGGACCTATATATGAATTCTGACCAATCAGGATTTGTTTCATTTTTTCCTCTGACTATTGGTGTTTTAATATGATATCAATGTTCTGTGTTGTCAATATACGGCGTTCTTTAAATATGGAAATTTATATTGATTTCTATATTTACAAATTTCGTTTTCTGTTTTTGTTTTTTGCTTTTGAAATTTTATTCAATTCTTTTTCACCTTTTCAATCGTTCCATGTTGGAATTTTATGAATGACATTTTACATTTCTGTATCAGCCTCAGGGATATGGAAAGAAATAAAAAAAAAATCGGAAAGCCGTTTTTTTTTGTTTTTTTTGTTTCCTTTTCGGTGCATTTGTACTATTTCCTCGTTCGTGACAAAATAACGAACTGTGTTTATTGACGTATTGTAACGTTTTACAAATGTTAACATAGGTTGGTCCGTTCACATCATATTCAACGCACGCGTGTAATTTTAATAATACACTTTTAATGGCGGGAAAATGGCATTGTGGGAGATGAGGTTGTGCTTTGAAATAATGTTATTTAAGCCTAAAAAATTATTGAGGAACGAAGTCGATCAAGGTGTTTGTATTACAATCGGCGTGTCGAGCGCATTCTTATAGTGATATCCCCCGCTTTTCGAAAGTTATCTTTGCGCCATTTTGCTTTTACGAAAGTCTTCCCAGACACTCAACCATATATACACCTATATATTAAACCCATATATTTTGGCAGCAATATCTCAATTAGACATGTTCTATTAAATAGAGCGAGCAAGGAATGTCAGTTTAAACATTTTGGTGAGTTTCTTCATCATTTTCTGTGTGCCGTGTCCCTTCAGGTCGTAGGCGAACATGGCCCGCCACATCTTCCTGTCCCTTGTAGCTCTCAATAAGTTTTGTATTTGTGTTATCTCTCCCAGGCTCTGTTCTGCCATCCATTTGCCAAAGCTCATCAAGTATGTCACGTGTTTCCTTCCCCTGTTCCTCTTTCCCTCTATCCGTCCTCTGAGTATCAGATTTTCCAAGCCCTCTTTCCTCATTATGTACCCCCAAAATTTCAACAGCCTCTTCTTTATGTAAAGTATAAGTCTCCTTTTTGTTTCCATTCTCTCCAAAACCTCACATGTTTGGTCCATGGTATCCTCATCATCTTTCTGTAGAACCATATTTCTGTTGCCTCGCGTCTCTTCTGCATCTTTGAGGAAATTGTCCAGCTTTCTCCGCCATATAGGAGGACAAATATCATGTAACGGTTCAATACTCGTTTCTTTGTTTCTAACGAAATTCTTTATCTCTTAATACTCTGCTTTACTGATGTCGGTTGGAAACTTGGAAAGAAACTTCCCGAAATTGTGTGTAACGCAGCGAGTAGTTTCGAACATAGTTGGTCAATTTCAAGAAAACAATGTAGCAAGTCGAGGAATAGGCAGTGTTACATTTACATTCCTGGTCCATTCTATTTAAAAGAATATGAGTAAATCTCTCTCTCTCTCTCTCTCTTTCTCTCTCTCTCTTTCTCTCTCTCTCTCTTTCTCTCTCTCTCTCTCTCTTCTGCTTGCTGGTAGCAGCGAACTACAGAAATGAATGTCTTGATGGAGAAAATGAACTTTTGTCTGTAGTTTTCATTTGTTTTTTTATTTTTTTATCTTTTTAACATGAATCTTTTAACATTCCTTGTGTTGGTCAAACAGTCTCTTTTAAGTTGTTATTTGAGATAAGTGCTGGATAGATACATATTATTCTGAATTTTCTGGTCAGTTTGACAGTTTTATTGGACCTGGTGAGGGGATGTGTCTCTGTTTAGTGTTTGTGTGTGTGTTATTTGGTTCTTAGGGAGTGAGTGAGTATGATATGTGTAAGCATGTGTATTGCTGTAGGTGTGTGTTATCATTTGGCTCATTAGGGAGTGAGTGAGTATGATGTGTGTAAGTGTGTATATTCGTGCGTATCAATGCATCTCATCAGGCGATTGTAAATTACTGGCGAGTGAACGTTTTATTTAGATTTAAAAGAAAAACCGTAGCGATTTTGACATGTTTTCAAAATAATATCCCAAAATAAAGTGTGTATATACATATATATATATATATATATATATATATATATATATATATATATATATATATATATATATATATATAAAGGACAGTTCTGAATTCAAAACCTGCGGAGGGTCTTTGTAGATCTATCGCTTTTTTTTATTATAATAACCAAGAATTTTAGTATAGGCTATAAGGAAATTAAAATAAAACAGACCAGCGTTTCGCGGTCTTTTTAACCTTGTCGAACACTTGAAATAATTTTCTTGTCTCAGGGAAACTTTGCATAAAAATGATTATATACCATTATTAATATATATCTGTTTTATATTTTATTATAATAACCAAGGCCTTTTCCACAGTAGGCAGCATGTGTATAGTAAAATTACGAACATAAAATTAAATAAAAATTACTAAAAAAATGCATTAACCTATTGATTAGTGTGTCTCGCAGAACTCCTAACGACTTGTTGTGGAACCCCAGGGTTCCGGGGAACACCGGTTGGGAAAAAAACTGTTCTATACATTTATATTCCAAAGAATTTATTTTATTAAAAACATTTTTATGTTTAACGTTCTTTTTTATAGATACAAATTTTTATAGATATATGAAGTTTATAAGCAGTAAATTCGACCTTGCCTACCGAACGCTCCTTTGTGGCCGATTGGTAAGACACGTCAGCGTAAATGACGGTTCCGTATAGGATGCAGGTTCGAATCCTGTCAAAGGACGAATATTTTCTATGAAAATTTCTGGGACATTCAGGCCGGTAAATGTTGTTTAATACTGTTTATTATAAACAGAGCGTTTACTTAAATACTTGTATCTATAAAAAAGAACGTTAAACATAAAAAAATGTCTTTAATAAAATAAAATGTCGGACTTTGTCCATTTCTTATTCTTAATATATAATTCCAAAGAATGTAAGTAAACCTAAATCATGCCTGTGCAGCCAAACAGTATTTGTTTAACCCATTAACTGCCAAATTTTTTAATGCGTATTTTTGGCCCAGAAAGGTGTCTTCGGAGTTTATTTATTCCTTATGTTTAATTTCAGAAGTTACCATTATCGTTTTTATAGAAACTAGAACATCAAATATATATGTGTATAAAACATCAAGAAATAATATTGATTAGAAATAAAAAAAAATACTTTTCAAAATAGTCATTATTTTTCTACTCATGAAATGTAAAATTACGACAAAGTGTCTTCTTACGGCTAATAATAAAAACTTTAAAGGCTAAGTGTTGTAAAATATACCTCTGCAAATGCAATGTATGTAAGCAATTCAGTGTAAATACAAGGAATAACATGTAGTGGGTTTAATTTTAACAGATCCCCAAATGGGGCTCATGGCAGGTAATGGGTTAATTGATTTTTTCTTTTACGGCTTATCAACACTTTGCAAGTTATTTAAAGACAGAAAATATTTTTAGATTGTAATTTTTTCTCTCGATAAATAATGGTTGTGATACAAGTTTTACTAATTGACCCATAGCTGGGGGGGGAAGAGATGGATTCATCCCTTTCCCAAGGATATTTGGGCGTAAGTGAATATAACGAAGTCAACTGGTATTGGAACTCGGCTCTCCAATTTCCAATTCTTAGACATTATCTATTACACCACCCGCACATCTAAGCTTACAGCACCTGATGTTCCCGATCTATGCTCGAAGCTGCTTAGCTTCGGTGATCGTACGGGAACCAATGTTTCAACGTGATATGGCCGTAAGCTACACTTTCAAAAGGACTTCATCAGACTGAAATAATGTTCTTATTGATCGAATTATTTATTTGTAGTGGGTCGGGGTGGGGGAAAATGTAAGCCAAAACGTTGATTATAATTTTCAATTTGGAGCAAACATTGAAAATGTCGGTATGTTAAACTTTAAATATAATTTTAAATTTCTAACGTTTAGACGTACAGTTGAGCCAAATTCATTCAACTTCCAAACGCTTCTGCTTTTTTTTTTATTATTATTAAATTGGATGGCTTTATACTTGACTCTGTAGGCAAACATTGACTGGGTTTATACTTAAGCTTATGGATAAAAATTGGTTGGGTTTATACTTGAGTCTATAGATAAAAATAGTTGGATCAAAACTCGAATCGGCAGAGAAAAGTTCGCCTGGTTTAAAAGCGAGTCTCAGTGGATATGCTAGTTGAAATTATACTTGAGTCTATAGATAAGCTCTTTGCATAAATCTTCGATTCTATATACAAACGTTCGTCAGGAATATACTTCAGTTTCTAGGTAAATATTAGTTGGGTTTATACTTGAGGCTGTAGATAAATAATTGGTGAGTCAATTCTCGAGTCTAAAAACAAATGTTCGTCATGTTTATACTTTAGTATATCGATAAAAATTAGCTGGGTTTATAATTGAGTCCATTGGTAAAAATTAGCCAAGCCGATACTTGCGTCAATAAGTAAATATTAATTGGATATATAGTGGTATCTATAGGCAAACATTGTTCGGATTTATAAATGAGGTTATATATAAACGATGGTCGGATCGATACTCGAGTAAATATGTAAACGTTCGTTTGGTTTAAACTTGAATCTATAGAAAAACATTGTTCGGGTTTATACTCGAGACCACGAGTAAATATTGGTTGGATTTATACTTGAGTCTATAGATAAACATTGATTGGCTTTATACTTGAGCCTATAAGTAAATATTGGTTGGATTTATATTTGAGTCTATAGGTAAACATTGATTAATTTTATACTTGAGCCTCTAAGTAAATATTGGTTGGATTTATACTTGAGTCTATAGGTAAACATTGATTCATTTTATACTTGAGCCTATGAGTAAATATTGGTTGGATTTATACTTGAGTCTATAAGTAAAGATTGATTGGCTTTATACTTGAGCCTATAAGTAAATATTGGTTGGATTTATACTTGAGTCTATAAGTAAAGATTGATTGGCTTTATACTTGAGCCTATAAGTAAATATTGGTTGGATTTATACTTGAGTCTATAGGTAAAAATTGGTGGGATTTATACTTGAATCTATAGGTAAACATTGACTGGCTTTATACTTGAGTCTATGAGTACAAATTGGTGGGATTTATACACGAGCGTATAGGTAAACATTGATTGGCTTTATACTTGAGTCTATAGGTAAACACTGACTGACTTTATACTTGAGTCTATAGGTAAAAATTGGTCGAGATTCTTACCCTAGTCTATAAATGTCCCTTTGGAAGTGAACCCCTTTGGTGGAGGTCTACATGGAATGCAGTTGCTGTCTTCTTCGCCTCACCGACAGGGCGATTTTGAAAAGATAGATAATTCGGAGCATGAATAACGATTGTCATGTGAATACATTCTGATAGACTTCTTGAGAGGCGAAAAAGGAAATTTATTTCTTGTTCATTAAAAGTATTTTAATATTAAACTGAGGTTGTTTATTAAATTCTATGTTAAATTTGTTTAGTTTTTCTTTGCCTTTTTATCTCTTATCCGCCATTTTTTTTTTTAGGCTTTCGAAATCATTCCTTTGATATCTGTCGTTGTTCGACCCACATTCATCGCAGTGGAAAGCAATTGGTTCTTCACAGCCGACATAGTTTCACCTGGCACGTTCCTAGCAATGAAAAGGCGGGAAGTTTCTCTCTCGTTGGGCACGTTTCTTAATTACAATCTTTCGATAATTTTGTCAACCGATTCGACATTCGCACGCACGCACACACACACAAACACACACAAACACACACACACACACACACACACACACACACACACACACACACACGGGTTCACTTTGTGATACGCACGCAGCATACACATACATACATACATGCAGATGCATATGCCTACAAACAAATGCATGCACACACACACACACACACACACACACACACACACACACACACACACACATATATATATATGAAAGTACACATGCACAGACACCGATGCACGCGCAAACAGACATACAAATGCAAACAAAAACATTCACACTCACACACAGACACATCCTGGTTCACTTTGCGATACGCAGACAGACGCTAAAAGCATACACACACATACATATATGTAGATGCATATCCTTACAAACAAACGCACACACACATATATATACACACATATACATACACACACACACACACACACACATATGTGATCGTGTACGTGTGTGTGCGTGTATTTTTATTTGTGAGTCTGTTTGCGCATACATCAGTGTCTGTGCTTATATATATATATATATATATATATATATATATATATATATATATATATATATATACAAATAATCGTCTCCATCCCTACCCAAATACACATACATACAAATATTCGGTAAAATCGCTTTATTGGCTTCGTTCCATTTTGATGGTTTATAATTTTGTTCTTCCATTTTTAACAAATTTGCTTTTTTACTTGACTATTTCTATCTTTCTTTAACGTCTTCTTTCTTTTCTTTTTTTCCTCTTCAATTCTTTTTCTTTTCTTTCTTTTTCCTCTTGTTGTTACCTACTTTTTACTTTTTCCTTTAAATTATTTCCCCTTTTCTTTTATTATTCATTATTTTTTCTTTTCCTATCTTTTCCCTTTCGATTTTTTTTAAGCGTTTCACCCCAAGCAAGGCGGGAAGCCACTAGGACGCAAGGGGTTACAGAAGATTTGGAGCAAGATCAGATAGGAGTGATAGAAGAAAGGATGAGGAGAAGGATAGTGGATAGATCAAGGCAACTGGAGATGTCGATTGACATTACATTTGAATAGTTGGAGATTATAGCTCTCAGGGAAAGTGGAATAGGGAAGGGAGTTACACAGGCGAGAGGTGCGAGACATGAAGCTATTGGAGTAGAAGAGACGGCTATATTTAGTAGTTTCGACAGTGAAAGTGGGAGAGCGGGATGCCAGCCTCGTAGGGCGCTTGAATTCATGAAGTCTGGGAACTAGCGAATGCAGCTTACTTTCCCTTTTCTTTTTCCTTTCAATTATTTCCTCTTTTTTATTATTCAATGTTCTTTTTTTTTTTAAATCAATTCAAGCAAAGCGGGAGTGCCACTAGAACGCAAGTGGTTACAGAGGATTGAGAACAAGAGTAAAGAGGCATGTTTGAGGAAATGAAAAAAGACAAGAACGGGGAACAAGCTCATGATGTTAGATATCGATTGACATTACACATGATTTTATTTGAAGATTATAGTCATCGGGGAAACAAGTAAGGGGAAGGGAGTTCTACAGACGGGAAGTGCGGGAGAAGAAGCTGTTTGAGTAGAAGAGACGGTTACATTTAACCCTTTTGACAGTGAAAGGGTGGGACCGAGATGCCACCATGGTAGCTCGCTTAAATTCATGCAATCTGGAAACCAGCGAAAGTAACTCGTCGGAACAGTTGCCGTGAAAATACTTGTAGAAGAGACAGAGGGAAGCCACAGCACGTCTGTGGGATAGCGATTGTAAACTAGATGCCAGATCAGGGTCTATCATATTGCATATTCGTCTCTGGATGTTGTCGAGGACCTAGAGACGTACAGCGGGAACACAAGACCAAATATGACAGCCATTTTCCATGCAAGGACGGATGGTTGATTTATAGATTTGAAGGATGGACTTAGACGAGAAAAACTTTCTGGTCCGACACAGAGAACCAACATTCCTTGCGGTAGATGCAGCTATTGATTCAATGTATTTATTCCACCTCGTGTCAGTGGACAGCGTGAGACCAAGCAGGCGTAACGAAGTACTCGCGTGGAGTTGGGCATCAGCCATCCTGATGGGAGGTAGGGAGGTTCTCTATGGTGAGTAAAGGAGAGCAGTTTCGTTTTGGAGCCATTAAAGTTTACAAGCCAGTTCCTGTCCCAGTCAACCACAGATTGGAGGTCCTTTTCGAGATCAGCAGCCAGGTTAGTTTTGTCAACGATACCAGATTTACTATTGAGTAAATAGTGGTGTCGTCCGTGTAGATGCCTATTTGGGAACTGATGACATCGGGAAGGTCATTGATGAAGATCAAGAACTGTGGGGTCCAAGATAGAGCCTTGGGGAACACCAGCGTTCGGGATGAAGGAGCTGGTGTAGAACCCGTTTAGGACGACCTTCATTTCACGCTTTGAGAGGAATGATTGTATTAAGTCAAATAATCGTCCTGTAATACCGTATCCCTGAAGAAGAAGGCCAGCACCCCAAACTCGATCAAGCGCTTTGGAGATGTCTAGAGCTACGGCTCGAGTTTCTCCATTATTGTTGAGTGCTTGGTAAACAAATTCAGTTATTGCCGTGAGCACGTTAGCGGTAGATCGGGCAAAGCGGAAACCATATTGCTCGACGGTGAGCAGATTACGTGAAGTTAGGTGCTTAACTACTTCGGCGTTGATTAAAGCCTCGAAGACTTTACCGAAGAGTGGTAGGAGACGGGTCTTTTTTCTTTTCCTACCTTTTCCCTTCTAATTCTTCCTTCTTTCTTTTTTCCTCTCAATATTTACCCTTTCTTTTACCTTTCATTTTTTTATTTTCTTTTTCCTCTGCGGATTTTTTTCGATCTTATTTCTTTCCTCTCTTTTTCCTCCCAATATTTTTCATTTCTTTGACGTTTCAATTTTTAAATATTTCTTTTTCCTCTCAAGATTGTTTTGATCTTTTAAATTTTTTTCTCTTTTTTTTCTTCTTTTTTCCTCTTAGTTTTTTTTTCTTTTCTTTTCTAGGCCCTTTTCATTCTTTGCACTTTTTTTTTCTTTTTTTCACTCAATTTTTTAGTCCCTTTTTTTTCGTTTCATTTCTGTGTCTTTTCTTTATTTTATTCACTCAGTTTTTCTTTTTTCCTTTTAATTTTTCTTCTTTTTATTCTCAGTTTTTTTCCTTTTTTTCTTTCATTTTTTCTTTTTTTTTCTTCTCATTTTTTTCTCTTTTTCTTTCTTTTTCCTCTCATTTTTTTCTATTTTTTTTCTTTTTCCTTTCATTTTTTTTGTTTTTCTTTCTTTTTCCTTTCATTTTTTTCTGTTTTTCTTTCTTTTTCCTTTCATTTTTTCTGTTTTCTTTCTTTTTCCTTTCATTGTTTTCTGTTTTTCTTTCTTTTTCCTCCCATTTTTTTCTGTTTTTCTTTCTTTTTCCTTTCATTTTTTCTGTTTTTTCTTTTACCATTCATTTTTTTCTGTTTTTCTTTCTTTTTCCTTTCAATTTTTCTGTTTTTCTTTTTTTTTTTTCTATTTTTCTTTCTTTTTCCTTTCATTTTTTTTCTGTTTTTCTTTTTTTTCCTCTCATTTTTTTCTGTTTTTCTTTCTTTTTCCTTTCTTTTTTTTCTGTTTTTCTTTTTTTCCTCTCATTTTTTTATGTTTTTCTTTCTTTTTCCTTTCTTTTTTTTCTGTTTTTCTTTCTTTTTCCTTCCATTTTTTTCTGTTTTTCTTTCTTTTTCCTTTCATTTTTTTCTGTTTTTCTTTCTTTTTCCCCTCATTTTTTTCTGTTTTTCTTTCTTTTTCCTTTGATTTTTTTCTGTTTTTCTTTCTTTTTCCTCTCATTTTTTTTCTGTTTTTCTTTCTTTTTCGTTTCATTTTTTTTCCTTATTTTTCTTTTTCCTTTCATTTTTTTCTGTTTTTCTTTCTTTTTCCTTTCATTTTGTTCTGTTTTTCTTTCTTTTTCCTTTCATTTTTTTCTGTTTTTCTTTCTTTTTCCTTTCTTTTTTTCTGTTTTTCTTTCTTTTTCCTCCCATTTTTTCTGTTTTTCTTTCTTTTTCCTTTCATTTTTTCTGTTTTTTTTCTTTTTCCATTCATTTTTTCTGTTTTTTTCTTTTTCCTCTCATTTTTTCTGTTTTACTTTCTTTTTCCTTTCATTTTTTGTTTTTCTTTCTTTTTCCTCTCATTTTTTCTGTTTTTCTTTCTTTTTCCTTTCTTTTTTTTTCTGTTTTTCTTTCTTTTTCCTCTCCTTTTTTCGTCTCATTCATTTTTTGTATTTATTTTTCTACACACTTTTTCTTTTTTCTTTTTCTTTACAATTCTTTCCATTTTTTCTTTTCCCGCTCATTTTTCCTTTCTTTTCCTTTCCACGTCTGACTCTTTCCTTTATTTTTCCACGCAGCTTTTTCTTTCAAATTCTTTTCACTTTTCTGTTTTTTCTTTCACTTTTTCTTTTCTTTTCAGTTCTTTCCATTTTCTTTTACCTATTACTCTTTCATTTTCTTTCATTCTCCTTTTAATTCATTACACCTATTTTTCTTTTTTTCTCTCAGTTTTTTTCCTTCTTTTCTACTAACTTTTTCCATCTTTTAATTTTTAGTCCTTTCATTTTTTTTCTCTTTTTTCTTTTCCATTCTTTTTCTTATTTCCCTTTTTTATCTTCCGTTTTTTTTTTGTTTTTTGGGGTTTTTTTCTGCTTTTATTCTCTAACCTGGCGTTTTGGGTTTCCTTTTTGCTTTCTTTTCTTTTTCTAATTTATTTTCTTTTCGTCTTTCTATTCTCTTTCTGTCGTTATTTTTTCTTTTCTCGCTTTCTTTTCTTGTCTGTGTAAATTTGACTTTCTTCTTACTTTTTGTTTTCCTTTCATTTCAGTTCTTTTTTCTCTCCTTTCTTTTTCTTTTCAATTCATTTTCTTTCTTTTCTTTTTCACTTCTCTTATTTTTCCTTTCCTTTTTCCTTTCTTTTTCTTTTTTCTGTACTCCATTTTTTCTTTCAATTCTCTTTTTGATATTGTTTTCTTTTTCACTTCTCTTTCTGTTTTTATCTTTTTTCCTCTGTTCTTCTTTCGTTATTTGTTCATTTCTTTTTCGTTTTTTATTTTATTCAGATTCTTTTTTTTCTTTTCTTTTATTTCGCCTAATTTACTTTTCACTTTATAAAGCTTTCTTTCTTCATTTTTCTTTCTTTCTTTCTTTCTCTTTTCTTTCTTTTTTCTTCCTTTCTTTCTTTTTCCTTTCTTTCACTCCAATTATGTTCCTAATGTCCGTTAATTTTCGACCCAATCAGTAAGAAGATGTGCGGCTTATGAAGAAGTCAATTCTAGCAGCCAGCGAATGACCTACATCGAAGAAAAATAAAAAGAAGAAAAATAAAAAAAAATAAAAAGAAGAAAATAAAACGAAGAAAAATAAAAAGAAGAAAAATAAACAAAAATAAAAAAGTAAAAAAAAAAAAAGAAGGAAAATAAACAAAATAAAAAAGAAAAAAAAAAAAAGAAAATAAAGAAAATAAAAAAAAAAAAAAGAAAGAAAAAGAAAATAAAACGAAGAAAAATAAAAAGAAGAAAAATAAAGAAAAAATAAAAAAAAAAAATAAAAAATAAAAAATAAAACAAAAAATAAAAAAAAAATAAAAAGAAGGAAAATAAAGAAAAATAAAACAAGGAAAATAAAGAAAATAAAAAAAGGAAAATAAAAAAAAATAAAAAAAGAAGAAAAAAAAAAAATAAAAAAAATAAAAAAGAAAAAAAAAAAAAAAAAAAGAAAAAAAAAAAAAAAATAAAAAGAAAATAAATAAAAAAAAATAATAAAAGAAAAAAAAATAAAAAGAAAAAAAAGAAAAAATAAAAAGAAGGAAAATAAAGAAAAATAAAAAAGTAGAAAAATAAAAATAAAAAGATGAAAATAAAACGAAGAAAAATAAAAAGAAGAAAAATAAAGAAAAATAAAAAAGTAAAAAAAATAAAAAAGAAGAAAAATAAAAAGAAGAAAAATAAAAAGAAGAAAAATAAAAAAATATATAAAGAAGGAGAATAAAGAAAAATAAAAAAGTAGAAAAATAAAAACAAAGAAAATATAAAGAAGAAAATAAAACGAAGAAAAATAAAAAGAAGAAACATAAACAAAAATAAAAAAGTAGAAAAATAAAACGAAGAAAACTAAAAAGAAGGAAAATAAAGAAAAATAAAGAAAAATAAAAAGAAAAAAAAGAAAAAAATAAAAGAAGGAAAATAAAGAAAAATAAAAAAGTATAAAAATAAAAAGAAAAAGAAGAATATAAAACGAAGAAAAATAAAAATAAAAAAAAAATTAAAAAGGAGAAAAATAAAAAGAAGAAAAATAAAAAGGAGGATATTAAAGAAAAATAAAAAGAAGAAAAAGAAAGAAAAATAAAAATAAAAATAAAGAAAAATAAAAATGAGTAGTAAGAGAGAATGAAAAAGACAAATAACCAACAAAGAGATTTCAAAATAGGACAATAATAATAATAATAATAATAATAATAAGAAGAAGAAGAAGAAGAAGAAGAAGGAGGAGAGGAATGAGAATGAGGAGGAGAATTAGTAGAAGGAGACAAAAAAGAAGAAAACGCCAACAAAGATATTTCAAAATGGCCATAATAATAATATCAGTGGCTGAGGAGCACCGTGCTGAAAGCTTCGACAGAACGCCTAAGTATTGCAAGCTCAGGACCAAAGCCTCACAACCAGATCCTATCACTGTCACATAATCAAGGATGGAACTCACCCGAAATGCAGGATCTTCGGAAAATATGATGAAACTGTCGACCATATTATCTAAGGATGTCCGAAACTGGCAAAAAACGAATATACCCAGAGACATAACAAAGTAGCGATATATCGGCACTGTAAGATATGCAAGAAGGATAAAATTGAAACCACTGAGAGATGGTATGAGTACCAACCAGACACGATTACCCAAAATTACGATGTAACTATCCTCTGGGACATGTCAATTCAAAATGACTGGGAAATAAAAGCCAACAAACATGATATTATCATAAAAGACAAGGAATTCAGGAAGTGTATGATTATTGACATAGCAGTACCATCTGAGAGAAAGACCTCCATGAAAATTATCGAGAAATTATCCAAATACAAGGACCTGGAGATCGAGATTAACAGGATATGGGGAATGCTTTTGTGTGGAGTATTGCTGTCATATATGATCTGGTGCCCCTTCTGTTTGTCTCAAGGTCCTTGATAAAATCCAGAGACGGATATGCAATGTAATTGGCTCTGACCTGGCATCTCGTCTGCAGCCGCTCTCTCACACACGTGCCGGTGCTTCCCTCTGTTTTTTTACAAATACTTTCACGGTTACTGCTCCGATGACCTGCTTTCGCTGGTTCCTAGACTTCATGAATTTAAGCGTTCAACTAGGCTAGCATCTCGCTCTCAAACTTTCACTGTCGAAACTGTTAAATGTAGCCGTCTCTTCTACTCCAATAGCTTCATGTCTCGCACTTCTCTCCTGTGGAACTCCCTCCCCTTTTCCTGTTTCCCTGATAGCCATAATCTCCAACTATTCAAATGTAATGTCAATCGACGTCTCCAGATGCCTTGATCTGTCCCCTTATCCTTCTCTTCATCCTTTCCTCTATCACTCTTATTTGCTCTCGCTCCAACTCCCTGTAACCCCTTGGGTGCTAGTAGCTTCCCACCTTGCTTGGGGTGAAACGCTTAAAAAAAATGAAGACTGAGACTGTACCAATAGTAATCGGAGCACTGGGCCTCGTAAGAAAAGGAATAGACAATTTTACAGTGTCCCAGGTTACGTCAATATACAAGTTGCCCTACTAGGAACATCGCATATACTAAGAAAAGTACTATTAATTAAATAACAATTCTCCTATAGAGCCATAGTTTCGACCCGGCTCTACAGGATACAAAGC